CAAATTATGGGATTAAAGAGGATTTCACATTTTTTTCTTCTTTGTGCTTTTCTATATTATGAAAAAGATATGAAATAAGTATTATGTATTACTACATATGAAGTTATAGAATATATAATAATACATGTGTTATATTACATTCAGTCATGTATACATATATATCCAAATATACTACAATCTGTTTTAAAAGTTACTCACTTCTATGATCATAATGCTGATTGTCTTTTTGCTATTTCTTATTAGGATGATGGCACCTAGTAGGACACAATTTCAGAAATAACTCATTTTAAGATTAAGAAAACATCCTAACAACAGAGTTGAGGTGGGGGGAGCTTCACTTAAAGGAGTGGGGAAAAGAAGATTCATCATTATAATTATTGGATTCCTATACAACCAGAAAAAGATCCTGACTATTTTTCAACATTGTCTATATTTTTTTATTTTTGTTCATACTGGGGTTTATCTCAGGTGGATTTTGTCACTGGGGAAGACCCTTTTGACTTTGTGTTCTGTGTTTTTCTGCTTTTCAGGATATGAAATCCAGGACTGATGAGCCTACAAGGACTGCAAGTGGAGTAAGACTGTCTGGGGGTACAGTGTTGGGGGTATGATAAAAGGGAGTTCATGTCAGAAGTTCAAGAAGGAAGAGAATGTTTGGAAACTGGTTGTGGTAGCAATTGTCCTATACTGCTTGATGTGATTGATAGGATAAGGAATGATCGGATATCTGTATTATCCCATTGCACGGTTTTGCAAAAAAATTTTTTTAAGAAACTGATAATTATTATTAGTAGTAGTGCCACACTTGGGCTATGAAAGCAAAAAAAAGATTCTCTCTTATCTATTTCAGTTAAATCACAACACACTCTTCAATGTCACTGTAAGTCAGAATGAACTTGATGGCAGTGGGTGAGGCTAAATGTGGCCCTTCAGAAATGAAAATGAGTCTTTACCTCCTATTTGCCTGAAGTTTTATTTTTCATGATCTATGCTGCATTCTGCTTTAAGGATCACCAAATTCCAGCCAGTCAATGGGAGAAGAATGAGGCTATCTGTCCCTGAAAAGATTTATAGCCTCTAAAGAGTTAGTTTATTATGCCAACCTGGCCGATAAACACAGGTGGGGTTAATTGAAGGGCAGAGGGATGAATGGCTCAGTGAGCCTTGCTTTTCTAGTTCTTGGGTCTCTTGCTTTGTGATGGTCGGTCCAGGGTGCAGCTGCTTAGTGGTTCCCTGCTTCAGTTGGCAAGGCTCACTTCCTGCAAGACATCACCAAGGAGAAGCCGCATGGACCTACCCTGTTGCAGCCCTGGGTGCTGGAGCAGCCATGTGGAGACCCCTGCCAGCGCTGAGATGCTTACACGTTCACTCACTGACTCGGCTTTCTTCCTGCAGTCGGCATCACAGTGTGTGTTTTGTGAGATGGAGGAGGACTTTGTGGATTGGTGTCGGACATATGGGCTAATGTTGGACTTGTGGGCTTGGGCAGCACTGGGTTGGGATGTTTTCATGATGTGCACTTACATTTTATATACAACTCTCTCTTATCCTTATGAATTTCTGTGGATTTGTTTCTCTAATGTATCCAGACTAATACAGCCTCAGCCATCCCCTATAGGGTCACCATGAGTTAGTATGGACTCAAGAGTAGTCGCTTTAAGCTTCCTAAATGAGCACAGGGCTTTCTTCTTCCCCTCAGTAAAACACAAACAAATGAGTCAACAAACCAACTGCCACTGAGTCCGTTGCACCTCATAGAGAGAGACCCTGTGGGACAGAATAAAATGGCTTCGTGGCGTTTCTGAGACTGTAACTCTTTACAGAAGGAAGTAGTCTCAGCTTGCTCCCACTGAATGGCGGGCTGGTTCACACTGCCAAGCGTTTGCTAAGCAACCTGATGCTTAAACCACGGCACTACCAGGCCCCCTTTCCTCATGTCAACCAGCCCACCTGCTGCCATTGGACTATTTCTGACCATCAGAACCCTTACAAAGGGTTTCCAAGACTGTAAGTCTGTATGGGAGCCGGTAACCTCATCTTTCCCTGCCTTCTCCTGCCCCCTCCCCGCCTTCTCCTGACCCCTTCCCCTTTATTTTACTGAAATAAATGACAAGGGCAAAACTTTTCCTTCAAAGTGTTTTTTCTGGCTTCCTGCTCATTGGTCCATCTCCTAAATATCCCACATGCAACGTCAAGTCTTTGACTCGAATCCTTCTCCTGGATAGACATCTCTCTTTTACATCACCCAAGTTTTCCTTCCTCTTTGTAGAGTGTTCAGTTATCTCAAATCGCAGCCCCGGGCGCCAGACCTAGTGCACTGCCCACACGGAGTTTGCAGGTCTTTACAGAGCTCCAGCGGCCCAAACCCCATTTCTTTAAAACTGAAATATGAGTTTACATTCCAGACTAGACTAGTAACTGGATGCCACAGGGGACAGTCTCTGTCCTACCAGAGTGATATTTCTGCATCTTTCGATGGTGATGTTGTGATTCCATTGCATGTTGCACAGACTGTGTGTGTGTGTGTGTGAGAGAGAGAGAGAGAGAGAGAGAAAGGGGGGGTATGGGAAAGAGAGAGAGAAAGGGAGAGAGGATTCTAGCAAAATAATATATCAACAATAGGTAATGTTACCCAAAATAACTGGGAGCTCCACAGGCGCTGGCTTTGCGAGCTCCTCCGGCAGCTGACCTGTATAAAACGTGGGTAACAGAGTGCTCAGAAGCCTCAATCTCTTCTGCTGCACAAGGTAAAGATATGTTTAACCTAAATTTCAATATGACCTCGGGGTGATTAACAGGTCATTGGAAAAACCTTACGAAGTCTTTTTAAAATGTGAAATGAAACTTGTATTAAATAAACACCTTTATTAAAATATGTTAATTATATGAAATATAACCTGATGTGTGCAACTAATAACTAACACTAGGGAGACTGCAGCAGTTATTTTCTTGATTGCTTTATGAGTCAGAATTAACTCAATGTCAATGAATTTGGTGGGGTTTTTTTGTTTTGGGATATTTTAGGAAAAAGTTGATTTCTCCTCTGAACAATGATGGAGGAGGGAGTGATTTAATTTCACAATGGTATTTGTTTGGAAATAGCTGCCTTTTCCCAGTATCCAACATGAAGGAAATCTTGTTTGTTTTCTATTTAATAAGGCTACAGATGGGAATTCGGTATAGGATGACCACAATAGAACATGAAATTGCTCTATGGCAGGGGCTCTTAATTCCTACCATGACCATTGAAAGTCAGCATCACTTCTCTCTCCATTTGCATTATGGATTCTTCATGACGTGGCCAAGATTCAGCATCCTAGCAGAGCTTAGAGACCGCATGAAGATACTCTGTGGATGAACTTACGCACAGCCGGGTGGTTCTCATGTTCTGGGGTGATCCGCTAGTTTCCTGGAGCAGTAAGAAAGCTGAGGAGGAGGAATTATCTGCAAGAGCCAAAGGTCTCCCATAAGGCACAGATCTATAGAGCACCCCTGACTCCCTTTGTGAGCTGTGGGTTGGGGGTCACTATTTGATTATTTGGTTCTGAAGCAAGGAGAATGCCAAATGACTGTGTGACTATTTCTTTCCTCTGCAGTCGGATTGCACAGCAATGGGATGGGCACACACCCTCCTTAGGAACAGTCTGAGGTTGCATCCCCTGGGAAGGAGGGCATGTTCTCTTGCCTGCTCTGTGCGCTTGTTCGCGGGGAGACCCAGGCCTGAACGGCTGAGTGTCGTGTTCAGCTAGTCAGGAATGCTATGTTGGGTGTGTCTAGTTCCTGCCCCAGTGGAAGAACCAAACCAGGAGGGTAAACGCAGATGAGACGAGTTTTATTTTGTAAAAAATCCTAGACAATGTCCCTGTAACACCAAGGGATTTAGATACATGGAGCATTCTGAGTAATTCCAGGGCCAACTAGCGAAGGGAACTGGGACTGAAGCAGGGCAAGTCAAGCAGTGGCTTGAGTTGATCAAGCATGGCGTCTGCAGCTGGACATCCTAGCTCTGACTCCTGGCTCAGGTGCTGGCTAACGAGGTGATCTCAGGCTGATTTCTTAATTGCTGCGCCTGAAAATTTCTCTCATCTGGGAAAAGGTATGATAATAGTATCTGCTTTATCTGCTGTAAGAATTAAATAAATTGGTACATTTACAACACCAGTACAGTCTTTGACAACAACATGCTATGCTTGCCCCAAATAGGAGGTGTTATTTTGACGCTGATCACGGATCCAAATAATTGGGGCATCTAATTCTAAAGACTCCCTTTTGTGACTCTGTTTCTTGCAGCAGGCGTATGAAGTAGGTAGATACTATTACCCCCTTTTTGCTGATGAGGAAAAGAGTGATGAGGGGATTGAGGGAGCTGTCAAGTGTCAGAGTGAGGAGCCAGATCAGGTTCCTGGCTCTCAGTGCCCGTTCTTTCTGCTATCCTGTGACAAGAAGCCTCAGATGAGAAGAGAGCCCTGTGTTTGCTCCCAAGCCTGGCTTCTTCATGATTCAGTAAACCTACAACCCACAAGGTCCCCTGCCCCTACCGTGTTACATAATGCTGTGCAGGGAGATTTTAAAGGGGCCATCCCAAAGGTCAGGAGCCATAAAGCTTAGAGACCTCAATTTAGTGATATGCTGTAAGATGGGAGGAGCGATGGCAAAGGAGAGATTTGAAAACATACTGAGCAACATACTGCCTCCTTTCCAGCTCTAATTACTGTCTGTTTTGTTTCTTTGTTGCAGTTCCTCTTCCTCGTGCATGCAGTAGATTCGATCATGTTTAACCATCTTCCTCTACTTTGTGCCACAAAACCAGGCTGACAGCTCCTTGGGTGGTTCCTTTGATCCCCCAGGGAGCTAAGCTAACAAGCAGGCACTCTTTTGGCCTCCGCAGTTGTTAAGGTGATAAAGCTACACCTTTTAGAGGCCTCTGGTAGGTTCAGACTTAACTTGGGCAGAGGGCCTTGGATCCCTTCCACCTCTTTTCCTTTCAGAAGGATCCGGTAATGGATGGATGTCTGAGCTCACAGAGGCCGGGTTGCCTTGGGGAAGCACAGCACACCCCAGGTGGCTGGTTAGACGCAGACAAGAAGCGGCCTTTCCAGGAGGATGGCCCCAGAGGACCCCCACGAGGTAACACCATCTCGGTTGTTTTCCCTGGCAAGGCCTTTTTCAAGGAAACATCTGTGACATGACTTTCCATTTCCTTTCTTGCTACATTTGAACCAAAATGAACTATCGCAGAAAAAAATGCCTTTATACAAGTATAAACATAGCATTTAAGTAGTTTAGGGTTTATTTGTTTGTTTCATAATTTACTTGTTAAAGTCCACAGATTTCTTTTACTTTGGGTAAAGATCTATTTTTGTAACAACATAGTTTGTTTTTTAAAGAAATTAACCGGAGATTAGCTTCTGCCTTTAGCTCAAATGCACTCCTGGCCGTGGATCATTGTAACTGAAGCTGCATTGTCCCATTAAGACAATGTAATGGCTTGGGGTTACATTTCTGGGCAAGGACTCGGTTGTAAATAAATAATAGATATAACAGACGGTACAATAAGCGCTAAGACATATTATTTAAAATGCTTACAATCCTTTGACATGGTATGATGACTATTTTCCTACTAAATGGGAATAAGTTATTCCTTTTAAACTAAACTGTACATAAAAATGCAAATCAACTTGGGCGGAAAATCTGGTCTCTCAAAAATGATCAGGCTAGCAGAGAGACAATAAGCTGCAATTACTTTATATCTATAGCTTGCTTGCTCTTTGTAGAATGTAGAGGGTTGCCGTGAGAGCAAATTAAGCGCTCATATTCTTTACAAAGTTTGTAGGCAGTGTGAGCTAGAACTTGGTCAGCGTGATTCCCCGGGAGATGATGAAACATTCAAGATCACTTTGCTAATGTTTCCTACATCCCGGTGAAGAACCTCAATTCCCCAAAGGTACTAAGTGGGCGTAAAGGTCGAAGTCCAGCTTGGACGAAGGTGGGGGAGGAAGGGACTCCCTGGAGGCTGCCACGAGTCCCTGATGGTCCTGCTTTTTCTCTGAGGCAACTTCTCCAGTGGCATGCTGAAGGGGCTTCTTCTGGCTCCTCAATTTCAGAAGCTTTTCAAACTATGTATCAAAATGGCTGTTCTTACAATTCAAATCACATAATGTTTTAATTCAATAAATTATATCCAAGCAAAGGTGTACCAGTTACTCTATTGCCTTCATTATTATGTGTGTGTTTGAGGTTTTGTCTAAGGCATCTCTAGGTTCCAAATATGACATCATGATGTGCTACTGCATAGCTCCTCACAGGGGCGTCACACGGGTAACCTACCCAGTCTTCTCCCGGGCAAGAAAGGCAGAGTCCATGCAAATATAAGTGACTTTCCTCTGATTGCTGATCCTAACATCTTTCCCTCAGCCAATGTCAGCCCGTCTGCATATGCCCAGCATCCTCAGGCCTCCCATCCAACACACTGGTCTTTTTATTCTTAGACATTCTGGAAAGACTGCCACGACTTGAGATTGCATCACATCAGTCCCTGATCAGATGCTCTTTTCTTACTATTTTATATGCTATTTGAGAGCTGCTATAGTGGGTCATGAGTTTAAAGAAATATTTAAAGCAATAGTAACTTAATAGCCAGGGCTCATCTGACAACTTCACTCTGGACTGTGAAAGTGGCTCTTCTTTGGGTAGCCTGTACCTTTTGAGGACCCGTTATCTGAAGGATTGAAGGAACATCCCCTGGCCAACAGGTCAGAATGCTGTTTCACTTCAAGACCTAAAAATATCAGATAGATGTTTACCTACTTCCTCCTGATCAGACAGCTCTCTCATGTCATTTTGCTGGTAAGACAACTTCCTCTTGTCATCACAATGGAGGCTGGGAGCTAGGTGTCACAGGGTCAGCACCTCTCCTGTCCTTCCCTAATACAAAGAAGGGCCTTGGGGTATCCTTTTGACCTTTGCCATGTTATGCAAATTCCGTGCCTGAATGTCATGCCTCGGTCAATTGCACAATTCCATTTCTGACTAGTTTGCAGCTGCTGTCAAAGAATGCATCTTCACACTGGTTGATGGAAAGATGGCTGAACCTGTTTCCATAGGAACAATTATATCAAATTATATCATGCATATCTTTTCACAGGATTAATCATACAACCTATTTTATTTTCTGCTGCACAGATTCTCCTGAGAGAGAGCCATCTCTTCAAAGTCTCCAGACGTTTGTTCCTACAGATTACACCAGTTACACTCAGGAGAATTACCTGTATGCAGGCAAGAAGATTGTCATTCAAGAATCAATAGAGAGTTATGGAGCAATGGTGTGGCCAGGGGTGAGAGAATTGCTGCATTTGAGATGGCAAGAACTCTAGACAAGCTACTAACCATGTCTAACACAAGGTCTTTAGACAAGCTACTAACCAGGTCTTACACATGTGTTGCCTTGGACATCTTGCAAGTGCTTTAACTTTCTGTTCTTTCCAATGTGAGAAACCACTGCTGTTGCTAGGGGTAGTGATGGTGTGCTTGGAAACTGCAGGCTCAGCGGAAGCACACACTCTTCCTCAAGCATCGTTTAGACTCAGTGGTAGACTTGCTGTGATAAGCATCCGCAAAAAAACATGACCTCTAAATTAAGATCAGCTAGGCTATATTGGAGATATATAATGCAAAATCCATCTGAATTGCTTAGGAAATGGACAGGGCTTTAGAGTTTAGGCTTTGCAGCAGGCATTTTAGATCATGTCCACAGACACATTGACATCCATTCCTCTTGTCCGTTGTGAATCCTTCAGTAGGAAGTTTAGGAAGCATCGCTTTACCTCATGAGAATGGGGAAGGACTGGTGGGGGATGGGGGTGGTGTGCTTCTAGATTTAGAGCCAGAAAGCTTGCCATTTCCTAAGTGGCTGCGAACCCTGTTCACTTCCCCTTCATGTGTCGCCTTCATTTCCACCTTTATAATGTGGGGTAGTGGCGATGCCTATTTCCGGATGGGATTGAGAGATATGAAACAGTACTGCAAGCAATATCAAGTTAGCTTTAATTATTAATGTAACGCCCCAAGGTCTACCTTACTGCTGAGTAAATGGGGGGCTCAGACAACTTCAGTGGTTTGATAAAGCTCTTTGACTGAGAGTCTAATGGTGTGTGTGTGGGATGGGGGGGTGGGACTTAGCTGAGACTGTGAACCCTAAGGTGCCAGCTCTACTGATGGTTTTCAGTGCATCAGAAGTTTTTAGCCTGTGCTTGGAAAGGGTCCAGATTAGAACTTCTCAAAAATTCACAATCATGTGAATCACTTTGGGATCTTAAAATACAACCTCAGGCTCAGGAGGCCTGGAAGGAATCTGTGACTATAGTTCTTACATGTTCCAACTTGGCGTGGCCGCTGCGGATCCAGCAGCCTATCATAATGAAAGGTTTCTTGGAGATTCTTCCTGGTGGTCTGGGTAATGGGGAGAATAGAGGGGGGAAGAAGAGAGACAGCCAAAGGGCTCCGGGTTCTAGTATTTCATTCCCACCACACCCCCAACACACCAAACCTCCTACCTCCCTCCACCTTCAATCAAGCTTACTTTTTTTTTTTAAGTCAAGCTAACTTTTTACACCTTATGCATATGCTCTTTTTTCAAACACGGGCTTATCTTTCATCTAAAAAGTGTGAAAAACTCCATAGTGTCCCCAAGATTTCTTTATATTTAGCAAATAGGCAACTATGAGCAAGCAGGGACCTAAACACAGAAATCTCTCGAGATGGAACATACATACCTGTAGAAAGAAGCAAGGGAGAAGGTCAAAAGAGGCCAGGCGCTGACTGTGGAACAGACCATCAATTGCTCATATGTAAGTTTAGATTGACTTGAAGAAAATGAAAACCAGTCCAAGAGAGCCAAAACCCGACCTTGCACGCATCCTACCTGAATGCAGAGAGCATCTCAGGAACAAATTGGACACATTTAGAACTGATGACAGAGACCTGACAAATTGTGGGATAACATCCAGAACAATCACCCATTAAAAAAAAAAAAGCAGAAGTTTCATTAAAAGCACAGGGAAAAAAAGCAAATATCATGGTGGATGTTAAGACTCGCAAAATTACTCATGAATGTAGACTAACTAGAGCAAATGAAGAAAGGATGAAGCCAAAGAGCCGAACCAGGAAATATCAAGGGCAGCTGGAGAAGACAAAGTATGATAATGGAATGTTCAAAAATCTAGAATTAGAAAGTCATACGGGAAGAACACACTTTGCATACATCAAGCTGAAAGAACTGAAGAAAAAAATTGAAGCCTCAAGTTATGATATTGATGATTCTAGGACAAAATCTTTTTTTCCAGTTAATATAATTCTTTTTTTATTAATCATTTTATTGGGAGCTCTAACAGATATTATAACAATCAAGCATAATTTTACAATTGGTACCTCCATCAGTTTCTAAACATTTTCTTTCTTCTTGATCTCTTTGATAACAGCTCCCCTATATCCCCTCTCTCCCCCACCCTACCCCCCAGGAACCCTTATTATTTTATTTATTATTATTTTTGCTGTATCTTACACCATCTAATGTATCTGTCCACCTGCAACTCTGTTATTCATTCCCCTCCAGTGGGGTTATACAGTCATCATTGCTATCAGCTTCCCCTCCCCCATTCCCCCCACCTCTCTTCACATACCCTCAGGGAATCATTACTCCTATTACTGTTTCTGAAGGGTTATCTATCTTGGCTATCATGCATTGAATGCTCTTAATAATACAAATGAATATATGCAGTCTAAAAAGAATAATGAGATAAAGCAAAAAACATAATAGTAAGGGGAGGAAACATTAATGTACTAGAGAATAGTTATGCATTTCATAAGTGCGATACCATGCCCTAGATTTATCATCCCTTCCATGTGAGCCTTCGGTGAGGGACTGTCCAATTATCTTACAGGTGGGTTTTGGGTCTCCATCTATGGGCAAAATCTTAAATAATGCAAGAAGCATCAAACGAAGATGGAAGAATTTGGGTTGAGGGATGCTGACAACATGGGTACAATAGAGTGACGACTTTAAAATTCAAGGACATGGTAAAACATCTGAAGTTCATTGCCAGAACAGAGATGGTACAGGAA